TTCCATGAACCGGAACCATTCGTGTAATATTATGAATGGGATCCCCCTGGGGTCACTTGAGTACTAATTTATGTTGCTTGGACACTCTCAAAATGTTATTGCACCCGTGTTGGATCGTACACTACTTTTGGAGGATAAGACACACTCGTTGGCAATTTTGACGAGTTTGAGCAACATAAACTACTAATGAACAAGAACAACCAAGTGATCCCTAAGGTAAATGTACCATGTAGTTGCTGGTATCAGCAATTCTTTGTACCTTGTTCTATCAAAATATTATTTTTTGTCATGCATTTCTTCTACCTAAAAAAAAATGAGGTCAAATCTCATTTAAACCTTGTAAACCAGATAATTTTCAATGTAATTATTTAATGTTGTATTGTTGTTATTCCTGTGGAACAACTTCATGTGACAACTGTACAAATAGTGTTACTAGCTGAAGCAATGTCTTTTCTACCTATTGTATTTAAGAATAGACAGATTACTTATCACTTACAAGTTGTTGTGCTCAAATTTTAAGACTGGTGAACTTTATTTTGTTAGTGCATAATATCTCTTGGTCTTAGTTTGTTTGTCTTACTTTTTTTTTCACTCCGCTTAAATAAAGAAAGTCGTTTTAGTTTTTTTGACAACTCTTTAGTTTAAGATTACACGATTAAAGAACTTTTTGTATAATACTAAAATTGTCGAGAGATTTAAGCTTTATATACTGACAAGTTATTTGTACTAAAATAAACTAGTATTGCATAAAACTCTAAGCCAAATACTAAAAATTAGGTGGAAAACCAGCCAATGTACTAAAATAAACTAGTATTGCATAAAACTCTAAGCCAAATACTAAAAATTAGGTGGAAAACCAGCCAAGGAGCAGATCCATAATGTAAGCTATACGTTCAACGGAACTCAATAGCTTTAGTGTTGACCCTTTTATTTGTTATAAATTTCACTAAATATGTATAAATATTAAATCTTGAATCTAGTAGTTATTAGCACTTGAGGTCACTAAAACAAAATCCCGAATTCATAAAGTTCAAATCTTGAAAATCCGTTCCAAAACAATTCATTTGCTACCTAACTTTTTCACCACTCAGTGATAAACCACACCTAAGCTTCTTACTGATCTACAAAGCTAAACAAGACTGGTAGTTGCACCTGTTCTGTTCACCCTAGTGAATTTTGTACAAACATATTCACATTTTGTTCCTCTCAATGCATATAAGGTTGCATTGTTGTTTAAGAGACAAAAGATAACAATGGAGAACCAACATCCATTGCTACCTAGTATACTTCACTCAACAGTTAAGTTATCAGACATGTCATCAGGCGAAATCGAAGAGTTCTTGGGGCACAAAAATGTGTCTTTCAAGGTGTATCTGAAGTTGTTTGCTTGGGAATCAAGGCTACTTTGGCTTCTTTCTGGAGCTGTTATTACAGTCTTGATTTTTAACTATATGCTTGGCTTTGTCACACTTGTGTTTGTTGGACATTTAGGTTCATTGGAGTTAGCTGGTGCTTCCATTGCTAGTGTTGGAATTCAAGGCCTTGCTTATGGTGTTATGGTATGAATTTAAGTTATATATACTAACAGTGTAACGGTTTTTTTTTTTTTTAAGTGTTGGAATTCATATAAGTATCGATGATGCACTCGTTATTTCAAATCTTTTCTTGACAACAGTTGGGGATGGCAAGTGCTGTTGAGACAGTTTGTGGCCAAGCATATGGAGCAAAAAGATATGAAGTTATGGGAGTGATATGCCAAAGAGCAATTTTACTTCACCTTGGAGCAGCTTTTATCCTCTCATTTCCTTACTGGTTTTCAGGGCCATTGCTTAAAGCAATAGGACAATCAGAGACCATATCTGAGCAAGGGGAAATATTCGCGCGCGGATTGATCCTTCAGCTATATGGATTAGCTATAAGTTGTCCAATGCAGAGGTTTCTGCAGGCTCAGAACATTGTTAACCCGTTGGCTTATATCGCGGTTTCTGTGTTCATTGTGCATGTTGTGATCACTTGGCTTGTGGTTGATGTCTTGGAATATGGTTTATTCGGAGCTGCGATGGCACAGAGCTTCTCGTGGTGGCTGTTGGTCATCGCGCAAGGTGTTTACGTCGTTTTTAGTCCCCTGTGCAAAGAAACTTGGACTGGTTTCTCTATGAATGCTTTCAATAGCATTTGGCCTTACTTCAAGCTAACTGTTGCCTCAGCTGTCATGTTATGGTAAATGGTTCACATCTTACAAACTCTCTTGGCCCGGCCCATTTTCCCTAACCAGCCCGTCCCACCTTATGCATTAACCAATGTCCAAAAGAGGCCCAAACAGGATCCAGCCCGGGACTACTTAGTGATCCATGAAAGCCCAGCCCGGTCACCCGCCACTATCAACAACTATACACTTGCATTTGCCAGAACCCCCTTCCCTCTAAACTAAACCTAACAAGGGTCAGGGTCGACCCACAATCCGGCCCATTTAACCATTTTCGACATACCTGGCCCCACAAACCTCATGCATTAACCTATTTAATCCCTCTATACAAAGGACTGGCCATTTTTGCATATGTGATCTGTTAACTAGACCAGGCCCGAGACCATCTAGTGTCACATAGCCCGTCCCGGTACCAAACAGCAGCCTGGCCCGTCTAGTTAAAAACTAAAAAAATACTATCAAGTAATAATTTTTGATTTTTTTCTTTGTTGTGAAATGTAGCTTGGAGATATGGTACTTCCAAGGCCTAGTGCTTGTATCAGGGCTACTTCCCTATGCTACAATCTCACTTGACTCCATCTCTGTTTGGTAATGTAAACAAACATAAAAAAAACAAAACAAAAAAAAAACTCCTTTCTTTCTCTGTTACCATAGATGCTCACAACTTTTAGTGACAATAACAGCATGAATTACTGGAACTGGGATATGCAATTTATGTTGGGACTAGCAGCAGCAGCCAGGTATAATATACATCACACATCCTACATTCTTGATAACCGATCGGAGTATGTATAATACATATGTATATCGGTTTAGGAAAAAGTAAACAGTAAATCCTACTAGCTATTCGTGTAAACATTACATAACATATTGATTGTGGTGTCTATCAGAAACAACCTCTTTACCAGTCTACCTGCATACATCCTACCCTTCTTAGACCTCCTCATTGTTGTTAACGTATTGATTAATTTCACGTACCTGCAGTGTTCGAGTTAGTAATGAGCTTGGAGCAGGACATCCGAGGGTAGCTAAAATGTCGATAATTGTAGTGAACATGACGAGCATCATGTTCAGTACAATTATCTGCATTATTGTGCTGATATTCAGAGTTGGATTAAGTAAACTCTTTACAAGTGACTCTGAAGTCATTGAAGCTGTTTCTCATTTGACTCCATTACTTGCCATTTCTGTTTGGTTGAATGGCATTCAGCCTATTCTCTCTGGTAACAAGTCCCTAACATGTTGGCTTTTCGTACAACTGTTACGTTACAGAGTTTTAAGTTCTATGCACTGACACCGAAAAGAAAATACTACTTAAATGACAGTTACATAACAACGCCGTTTGGTTCAACTTAGCCATTATACTGCAATATTGTTATAAAAGATGATTGTGATATAAAAGTTTGACTGTATACTACACAAAATATTTACAGTGTCAGCGTATATAACGTAAATCGTTTATCGAAATTCTTAAGTTTTTCTTGAACCTAATTTCTTGCAATGTTTAGGTGTGGCTGTTGGAAGTGGATGGCAAGCTGTGGTGGCATATGTCAATCTAGCTACTTACTATTGTATTGGTCTACCAATTGGATGTATTCTTGGCTTCAAAACAAGTTTGCAAGCAGCAGTATGTTTTTTTTTCTATCCTCTTTTAACATAATCGGATATCTAGAAGCACAAGTTGATCTGAACACCATAATTATCAAAAACACAAAAAGAAAACTACGACTCAATTTCAAACAAGTCGGAGGCCAACATGCATAGAAAATGAGTTTTTTTTTGACAGGGAATATGGTGGGGGATGATTGTTGGAGTTGTCCTACAAACAGTCAGCTTGTTTATTTTAACAGCCAGAACAAACTGGAATACTGAGGTAATTCAGTAGTAAAAAACATTTATAGATATTTAGTGATTCTCTTCACATATATACTCAGGATCTGAACAAGCTACTGAGTTTCTGTAAGTCCATATGTTAGTACTCTAGATTCGCCTCTACTTGTAACATACTTACAACTCTCAACTTGAATATTGTAGGTCGCGAAAGCAGCTGATCGTTTGAAGGAAGCTGGAAATAGAGAAGATGAAGATCCTGTAGACAGGCCTTGAAGAGAGTAACGAAATAATACTATAATCGAAGTTCAAGAAACAACAGATAATTACAGAAATCGAACAACAAGAAACTACTAGTATGAAAGGATAAGTGAGATAACTCTTGACTACCTTCTAACCATAATCCTTGTACTTCCCCAGATACCTATCTATGAAAATTTCTTCAAAAAGGCAAAAGAATAGCAAGTATTTGGTAGTTAAAAGGACACTAGAAGATCAACAAAGCATACAGCTATATGTTTGTGTTGAGAAATGATTCAGTAATGCATCTGCCAAAATAAAAAGAAAACGAATACTCATGATTACGCGAAAATAAGGTGATCTATGAGATAATTTTTCTTAAACACAACAATTCGCGGAGGTATTATGAACCAGTATCACCACATGCTGCAATTCACAGCTTTGTATTTTACAAGAAAAATGCCCTCCACTGCTAAATTTACCTGGAAATGCTAAATCTTCGACCAGGAATGGCTATCCACCCAGTTTTAGCTGCTGCTGAAAACACATTTAGAAACCTTGTGGTTTCAACGATTCTTTGCTAAGCAGCAAGCCAAACTGTGATGGCTCAATCCCATGTATCGACTAAATTAAAATGTTTCTGTGTAAAGAAACCTAAGAGTTACATTCTGGATATCAAAATGGGAATAAGTGTTTCCTCATCCATGGCTGGCTGGAAAATATCCAACTCTCCATGTCGCTCCAGGACACGCATCCTGCAGTCCTCGGCAGCCAGCAATCCGGTTGAATATGCACCATGTACAGAACCTGGGTAATCAGCACTCGTTGCCTCCCCAGCAAAGAATAGGTTATCTACAGGTATTCTAAGCTTTTCATATAGATCATGGGGCTTCCCAACAGTATCATAACTATATGATCCCAGTGAGTTTATATCTGTACCCCAGTGAGAAACAAGATACTGAATCTGCATCAGGACCAGGAGAAAAAGATAAAAAAGAGTTAGATATCGTAATTATCATGAAAACACAGAAGGAAATTTCCAGAGCAACTCAATAAAGTAAAAACCAAGAGACATGGGAGCAAGAACTGGAACCAAAAAAAGGAAGTGTAGCATTACAGGAGCAGTTGCATTGGGAAGAATCCTCTTAAGTTGAGTAAATGCAAAATTAGCAGCAGCTTCATCAGACAGTTCTCCAATGTCACGGGCCAGTTGCCCAGCAGGCATATAAACAAGGACAGAATGGCCAGTGGCTTTGTGAAGATTAAGAAAGTAACTGCACTCATATGAGCTTTCTGCAACTACTCCCAAGAACTCAACATTTGGCCAGAACACGTCTTGAAAGTGCAGAATAATCTTGTTCTCAATTCCTACACCAAGTTCTTTAATGGCAGCCTCTTTCCACTCAGGTAATCTAGGTTCAAACTTGATACAATTTGATTTCAGAACACCAAGAGGAACAGCAATAATGGCAGCATCGGCTACAAAAGTACTCCCATCCTCAACTGTTACCTTCACACCATTATAACGTCTAACAATTTCTGTAACCCTGAAGAATGATTCCAAAAATAAATGAGGGAGTGTCCCTTGTTTCGGGGGATGAGATGTCAGGAAGGTATTCCTTACCTGTGACCTAAGCGAATGTCAAGCCCTTTTGCTAGTGTGTTGATGACAGGCTTATATCCCCGAACCATAAGACCATGCCCACCAGGAAGCAATTCTTCCTGTATAGCACAAACACAAATCTTAAGGAGAAACTTCAAACAACATTTCCAAGGTCAATAAACTGCACTAACTCTAGTTGATATTTTTCCTGTCACACTTTACTTATAGGAAAGCAATTATTACAATCACACATATTTTATACAAGGGCATTTACAGAGCTTCGAACATCTTAGATGATCATTTTGATAAACGTATTAGCCTATTAGGAGATCTAGACTTCCCTGAGCTGATGTAATCCCTTCACATATTCACACCGGCTACAAGTAAAACTCAAATGTTAAATAAACAATCAATAGATTGTCTTTTGGCCTATTTTATGTGACGTAATTTGCTTAGGCATAGAGCTTACTAAAGTAACTTGACTTATTGTATTAGTAAAAATAGAAGAAAATACTATAGTAGTTGATAAGTTAGTGTTAAACGGAAACATCATACCACTGTTTAACTTAGTTCGAATCCATGAAAGAAGTGAGACTTGTATGGAACAGTACTATAAACATGAGCCAGACATCTTAAACATCCCAACATGACGAGTTTGTGGGATTGAAGGAGTATCTGGAATGAAAGCTTCTGAAAAAAGATAACACTGGCTAAAGGCATAAAACTGATGGCATAATTCTTCAGAACTAGTAACCAAGTGTCCTTCATTGTCAAGAGTTTTTTTTTTTCTCATTCCCAAGATATCTTTACTTACTACGTAATTAGAGCTATGCTAGACAAATGACACATCCCATTTGGTAACAGGAAAGACAGAATGAGATTCTCTTTTTGAACAAGCTGTTCTTTCAGGTGTATACTATGGTGAGACCTAGAAACAGTCCAAATGTCTCTGGAAGACAATAGTCAAAGAGAATATAAGCATTCTCCAACAAGTAAGCAATGAAGAAAAAGAGTCAAAAGGAAATTAACCTGGTCCCAACACTTGAGTGATATGGTATCTGCATCCGCAGCAAACCAGCCTTCCATTCTGCATAGGTACCACTGCAACACCTTATGACCAAGGCCGTTCAACCTGTATTTACAGTTACTCAGTGAAAAATTATTCTCTTTTTTCCTCTTTAATTGATTTGGGAAGAGGTGATCAATGTTCTGGAAAAACAGAAGTAAGTAGGACCTTAAATCAGGTCTCCTTTCAAAAACCATTGATATAGCACAACCGATAGACATGTCTTCACTGTTTTCTTTCCTAATTAGATCAGTCTGCAGCCAAAGCAAGTCAGCTTATAGTCAGAAAATGTTCAAAATACTAGATACTATAAAATACAGATCCTTTCCTTACAGAAAGAATTAGATATTTCACAAAAATGGTTCACAGAGATTTAAGGTGGATAGAGAAAGGAAAACATGCCTCCTTCAAAATGCTCTCAAAAGTCTCGCCAACCTTTGAGACTAAGTCCTGGGGAACTTGATTACCCTCCATGTCAAAAAGTCCATAACTGGAGAATCAAAAGACAAGCCAGTTAGTTTTCTTAAATGCTTAGAAAGGTCACTTCAGAGAACTAGCAATCTCTAATTTTTCCAGATTTCCACATAATGACATGCAGAAGCATATAAACTTGATATGTAGAATTTTATGCATTAATGTGATGCATTTTTAGAAAGTGGACATATGATAGGTAAGGACAACTTTGAATATTAACCTTTCCAGATCATGGTCATACAAAACTGAATTGTCACCACTTGTACGATAGAGAGGCAGTCCTAGTTTTCCAATTAGAGGTGCCAAAGGATTCTCATTGCCGACGCCGTGCAACCTAAACCAGTTAAAACTTCAATATCCATTGGAAGCAAAAATGCATCTGTTTACTGTATAATAAACAAATTCCAAAAAGCAAAAATTCGCTACCATGATGCACCCAAGTCAACAGGAAAACCAAAAGAATAATCAGTGTGAACTCGGCCTCCAATTCTATCTCGTGATTCTAGCACAACCACCTGCAAGAAAATATCAACTAGATGAAATATATCCACCGTAACCATTACAGCAAGTAAAAAGTTATAAGATAGTCATATTTCTACTAATACATATTTCCAGGGCATACCTGAAATGATGCATCATAAAGTGTCCGAGCAGCTGCAAGGCCTGCAAATCCACCTCCTATTACAATGACAGATGGTGAAGCCGCATTCCTCCGTCTAACATTTGAGAAGCAAGGAGCTAGGGAGAAAACAGCTCACTTTAGTAAAGTTTTTTCACTTGAAAGAAATGATAAGCATCCATAATGTTAGACACAGAAATGTACATGATCATGTCTGAAGTGATCATATAGACAGCCAAATCGCTAGGTGAATTTTTTTTGTATTAGTATAGGCAATATACAAAATGGCCTAAACTTTACCTTGCTCAAAAAAAAACAAAAAACAAAATGGCCCAATGGGTTTTATTAGGTTGCTCTATTTTTCTTCATGTGCTTCTGATTCCAAACACATGAAAGTACTGTAATTATCATTTATCGGGTGTCTTGTCCCTAGATCTAATTATAATCAAGGACTCATTTGTACTAAATTAGCAAACTTGGCATCTTCGATAAGCAGGATAGCTCGTTATTCTAGAAACAAAAAGGGATAAAACACCTACTAAATGGAGGCTAACCAGTAAAAAGTTTAATTCATATGTTACCACTTACCAGCATACACAATCTATTAGTAACCCATTATTATGTTAGAAATAAACAATGAAAAATATGCAGTGTCAAACTGACAGAAACCCATCATATTCTGTATAAGTTAAAAACTTCAAAGCGATTTTTATAATACCAAATTGCTGTTTGCTGACATGTTCCAAAAATTCTACTAATAACATGTTATTGATATAGAGGATGAAAACAGGTAACATCACTGACAGTTGAAAAAGCATATTCCTTGCAAGTTGAAAACTTTAAAAGTCTCTCTTTTTAATACAGGAACAAAATAAACCAAATGTCTCCATTCTGATGCTGCAGTACACACATTTTATATGAACAACATAAAAATCAAACAGCAAACATCTTAATTCAGCTCAAATAAATTCAAATTTAATCGATCATACAAACTAACAGATGACATTACTTGTGCGACTATACAGTGTATGTTGTAGTTGTTGTTCTTGTGTAGCGTAGTCCGAAAGGTAGGTACAAAGATTGCCTACATACTATCCTCCACAGTCCCTGAGACTACACTCAATATGTTATTTTGTTGTATTTCATAGCCTTGTAACACACTACCCTTCCCATACCCCACTAGCGGGACTACACTCCATACTTGACCCGAAACACTATCATCCTCAGACCCGACTTGTCAAGCTACATTGGGTATGTTATCAGTAACCGGGTAACCGGGTCACAGGTCAAAATTGGTTAAAACCGTTAAGCCAAAGCTATATTTGCAGAGAAGATCAAAAATTAAAACTTTACGAAAACAAACCTCTCTGCACCTGACGATTACTCTTGTTTTGAGAATCCATAGCTAAATTGCGATAATCCACAATCAACCCAATAAAAAAAATCGAAATCGATGAAATTAACTAAATAGTAATCGTTAATAATCTTAATCTTAACAACAATCTCAGTATCAATGACTTAATACTGCAATTATCAGAATCAGAAAATGCAAAAATCCGAGGTGAAAAATGAAGAATAAATATCAAAAAACAAGTTATAAACAGATTTGAAATTGAAGAAAAACCCAGCTTGATCAATACACACATGCGTATTCCAAATCAACCCAGATGAACAAAAAGTGCAAAAATAGTCCAAAAAAATCGAAAAAAATTTTGAAAAAATTCTCTCTCCTGATCAGAATCGAACGAAATTCGTTTCTGCGAATTCCGAATGAACAGATTGTTAGATCGGAGAGAGAATAAATTGAGAATTGAAAAAAAAAAATATGAAGAAAGATGAGCTTTTATGGAGTTTTTGGTTATGGAGGAGAATTGGTTTAAAATACGTGTGGAGAAGAGGAAAGGAATAGGAATATTCCAGCAATTAATTAATTGTTTTTTTTAAAAAAAATCGAGTTTATAAAATTACATAGATATTTCGACTTTGAATCTTGAGAAAATGTTAGTAAAAGAACATTTTAACCGTTATAAATAAAGAAAAAAGATCAAATTTAACTTTACGAGATAATTGTAATATCAATATACTTTTATATAAATAAATATATAATATTTTCTCCGTCTCTATTTACTTGTTCAATTTCTTTTTTACGAATTTAAGGATCCATATAACTAAAGTTAGCTATATATTCTATGATAAATGTTTAAAAGTTTATTTTGTTTAAGTTAAGTGGAGTTATTTTATTAAAAAAATTAGAAATTTTTTTAAAAGTGACATTTGGAGTTTTCTTTATAATTGTAGAGGGACCATGGGATATTTTCTTAGTAGTATTTCACTCATTAATTAATAGAAAGAAAATATAATCCGTTCAAAGCGTGTTTAGAAGAAAGTAATAATAATATAAATAAGTAATTCTCGGAAAACTTTAATATTGCATTTTTTTATTTCTCTCATTATTATCATACGTTGAAAATAATATTAAAATTATAAAATTGCAATAAATACGTAATAAATAATCTCACATTCTTATTTCTTATATCAAACAAAAACAAATACAAAAGTACAAATGCAACATCTTTTTATTCTTAAGGTAGATAATCTTTTTTTTTTTGGTTAAACAAAAAAAAACATTATTTTTACTCCAACATATCAAAATTCATATTATTTTGTAGTGAGACAAATTAGAATTGCCATCAAGTCCTTTTTTATTAGAATATTCAAAGAAGTCCTTCATTGTTGTTGATCTATACTTTGGAGGATTATCTTTTGATAATAATTCCTCAATTGGTCCATAAATTCTAGAAGTTGAAAATGGCCCTGTGCTGAAGAAACTTGCTATTGATATTCTTGGACCAATTGTATTTGCCAATACTCTGTGAACTACGCTCTTATATTTGTCATTCGATATAAGCTGAAAAGTCAAAAATGAGATAAAACATTATAAGTTTATAATAACTTACTCATTAAAAGAGATATTTATATTTATTCTAAAAATTTCATCGATGATCACTCAATTTTTGGTTCATTATACCGAAATTACTACGAAAAAAATAACATAATTAAGTCTATAGGTCAAACAACATTCGGTAACGTCGAGAAAATGCTAAATAAGTTATCCTAGATAGTCGTCCACCCAACTAATTTAACTCAAAATAGTCGGTCGATATATAATATATAGACATACTGCATAAATATGTCCTCATTTCACATTTATGCCCTTCAACTTTGGGAGTGCACAAGTAGACACTTAAACTTGTATAAAATTAAACAAAATAGACACAAACGTCCTACATGACACCTAACATGAAAATTTGTGTCTTACGTGGTGTTCTACGTGTATTGTGACACGTAGGACTCGTGTGTCTATTTGTTCAACTTTATACAAGTTTAAGTGCTTACTTGTGCACACTCAAAGTTGGAGGGCATAAATATAAAATAAGGTTAAGTTGAAGGGTGTATTTATGTATAATCTATATATAATATGTGTATTACCATGTATAATGAGTGTTACCTTACGTATACTGACTAGAAAAAATATACGTTATATCTATCTGGCTATTCGTGTAAAGATCCAATACGAGTAAAAAGAACACTTTACCTGAAGAATGTCACCAATATTGACAACTAAAGCTCCATGAGTAGGAGGAACATCAACCCATTGATTCTTGTGAAGAACTTGAAGTCCACCAATATCATCTTGCAAAAGCACTGTGAAAAAATCATTATCAGCATGTCTACTTGTGCCAATTGCAATTTCTGGTTGTGGACATTTAGGGTAGTAATTGCACAAAATGCCTAGTCCCTCAGCACATCCCATTTCTTTGAGATGGTTTGGTTTTAAACCAAGTCCTTCTGAAAATAATTCAAGCAATGTGTATCCCAAATTCATCACATAATTTGAGTACTCAATTGTGATTTCCCTACAACAATGAAAAAAGTAGTTGTTAAATTTGAAGTTCTACTACCAAATCTCTGTATAAACATGTCGTTTGTCTAGATGTTATTTGACTGGTATAATGAAATGATATCAAGAAAATGTATAATATAATGTAACACCATAACATGAAAATCAATTTAATGAAATATTATTATAATACATTTTTAATTAATAATAATATAAATAATACTAATGGCTGTAACGTATTGTTCATTATATAATTGACATGACATATTAGACATGTTATGAGAAGGCAATGGTTGTTAAATAAAAGCACTAAAGTACTAATGATTGACTTATTTTTTAATTTATCATTATGGTCAATGTTTTTTTTTCAAGAAAAAGGTATATTAGTAGCATTCATGGTACCTAATAGTATAATATATTTTTTTGATTGTCGGTATATATAAGTTAAATTTCATAGAAAAAGTACCTGCATGTCTCGGGGATTTCCTCGGGAGTAGCAGGATTAGGAGCCATGACAGAGTAAAGTGAGTCTCTCCAATTTGCTGCAAGAGATTTCTCACTAAATAGATCAAAATTGCAATTGTACATAACTTTCCTTGCAATATCTCGACTATAGTATGGCTTTTTAACGTCGATATCTTGATCGTGAAAACGTCGTGCCCCACGCAACATTTCGTCTAGGACGGGGACGGGGATACCATGATTGATAACTTGAAAGAAACCCCATGTCTCTGATGCTTCTTGAATTTGTTTCACTATCTCTTTGTTGTTAATGCTGATGTTTTGGAGGTCTATTAAAGGGAAAATGAAATGTGTATTTTTGGGATTTGTGGTTTTATTTTCTAAGGCCTCTGGATGAATGAATATTTGAGGTACTTTAGTAATTCCACTATCAATAAGTCCTTTGACACCTGCTTTTGTGTCATCAAAGGCTTTTAGTTCACTTGTTTTGTCATAGCTTTGTTGTGTGTTGGAGGTTGTCATCAGTATTGAAATCTGCTTTTTAGAAGAGCAAAAACAAATAAATCTGTTGATTGAGATCACAGAGAACTCAAACTTAAACTTTCGAACCGATCCTTAAGAGAGAACAAACAAGTACTTCAATTAAAGATGTCTAAAAAAGGTAATAAAAAGATAAGAAACACAAATTTTTGTAATGGTAAAGATAGATTTAGATTTTAGTTTAGTATCAACATAATATAGTGACAATTTTTCTTGGAGACCAAGTATGGTCCTTTTTATTTAAAAAAATAAGCATAATATAATATATGAGGGACCATGGGTTTGGTGGTGTGCTTGGACATCAAGTATATATGGTCCTAGTCAAAAGTTCTTGTTTTTAATAATATTAATTTAGTGTACGTGTTTTGCATGTGTATCAATATATTGCTTAATTAATATTTTAAAAAATGTATTAATTATGACATAATTAAATGTAACACTAATATTAGTTTGATGGGGATTGACATGACGCAACATGATCACTTGAATCAATTTCTTGTTGGGAAAACTTTATTTCTTAGCCATGTGGCTAGCTCGTTGTTGGCCAAGAGCATAGGGGTGTTTGAGACTCTTAGTTGGCAAAAGGAACGGTTCATTAGAATGAGGTTGGTTGAGGAAACTGATACTCTACTCGTGAAACAATGTCTAGAAGAAAATTTGGTGAATTACTCTTATTTTGATTCTTTAATTTTTTATTATAAAACTCTTATCAAGGGTTACATTTTCACTCTTTGTCGTCTGTTGAGAAATCAGCGAATCAGGTTACTCATTATCTTACTAGACCATCTGTTTATGTGTCTGGTTCTATGAAGTGAGATACTAGTCCTCCGTTTCTTATTATTAATTTACCTGTTTTCGATTGAAATAATACATAAGAGTATAATTTAATCCAGTATTTTTTTTCTTCCGTTTTTTTATTTTTATTTTAAATGTTTGCTTTGTTGAACAAAAGCTATAAATTGTGGAAGAAAATATAATAACCACAAAAAAAGAAAAGGAAAAAAAAATGGAAAGAGACCTAAAGTCAACAAATAAAATTATCAGACTAAATAAAAAGTTTCAACAAATATACTTTACTCCTTATACTAATTGCAAAGTACAAATGTGATATTATTTCCGTAAGAGATAAATCACAATTTATTTATTATTATTTTTATTTAAATATATTTAAAAACATTATTTTAATTTCATATTTAAATTCCATAGTGAAACAAATTAGAATTATTATCAGATCCTTTTTTGCTAAAATATTTAAAAAAAGTCTTTTAATGTTGTTGCTCGATATTTTAAAGGATTATCTTTTGACAATAACTCCTCAATTGGTCCATAAATTCTAGAAGATTCCACTAGCCCTGTGCTGAAGAAACTTGCTACTGATATTTTTGGACCAATTTTATTAGCCAAAACTTTATAATCTACGCTTTTATAATTGTTATTTGATATAAGCTGAAAAATAAAAAATCGAACGATACTTAATAAGTTAATAATAACTTACAATAACTTATCCAAAGGTGATTTTTATATCAATGCTATAAATTCCATCAATGATCAGTTAGAAAGAAGGGAGGTGAGCGAGAAATACAAACATTCGAAAACATAAAAAAGAAATAGAAAACTGTTAAATTTGATTGTGAAAAACACAATAGGATGTCACACATGTATAAATTTGTAACATATATATAGTCATGTCAACAATTCACCTTACATTATTTGTGTGACACCACTTTAAATTATCCATGATACATAAAAGATCATTTTTTCCATTTCAAAAATTAATATTATAAGTTTAACATAATAAAATAGAAATTAAATAAACGCAAATTAAAAATAAGACAGTTCAATATACATAACATTCTATGTTTTAAAAAAACCTAATAGGAACACACCCTTAATTAAAGAAGTGTTATGTAAGTTATATTGTTTGGATGACTCTTCAAAAAAAATTATCGCATTTATATTAGATTCTCAAAATTAAGATGCACTATTTTTGAGGATTTGTCATGCATTTGGTAACATAATAAACGTAAAACATCATGTATGATATAAAATATTATGTAGGATTTTACGTAGGACGTGTGTATTTATTTGTGGAGTTTTATACAAATTTAATCGAAGTATGAGAAAGATGAAGTGGACACCACAGTTTTTTTAGAAAAAACATTTCACTATAATGGTGTAATTTTCTTCAGGACCGACTTTTATATGTATATTAATTAATTATATAGCTACTGACATAAAAGATGATCTTTAGTAACAATTAATTAACAACAATAATTGCTATTAAATATGTTTTTTAGTGGTAATTAACAGTTTAACACTAATTATAAATGTCTCTAAAACCTATAGCGATATTGAATTTAATGACAATTAACTAATGCTCCTTGTTAATGTACATATATATTTTATTGCCACTAAAAATTGTTCTCGTTGTTGTGAGTCTATATAACAATATCGCGCTATAACAATCAATAAAATACATGTTGGTGGTGAGAGGTGACACGTATATATCCTGTGAAATTAGTCGAGTGTGCGAAAGCTAAATAAAACACCATGGCTATCAAAGCAAAAAAACCAAAAATATTTCACTATAACAATTTAATTTTCTTCGGAAGGTGACATACATTTCGTAAAACTAATCAACATGCACAAAAATTGACTCAAACACCACGATTATAAATTAAAAAAAGAATTAATTCACTATTATAACATGAGCCTAAGTTACTTTGGAATCAACTTTCACATGTATATAAAAATTATATAGCCTCTATAACAATATTATCTCGTTATAACAATAAAAAAAATATTCAGACAAACGATGTTACCCGCATGTCTCAGGTAATTCCTTAGGCTTAGCTGGATTAGGAGTCATGATAGAGTATAAAGTGAGTCTCTCCAATCTGCTGCAAAAGATTTCTCACTAAACAACTCAAAATTACAATTGTACATGACCTTTCTCGTAACATCTCGACTACAGTATGGTTTTTTAACGTTGATATCTTGCTCGTGAAAACGTCGTGTTCCACGTAACATTTCGTCTAGGACGAAAAATTGGAATACCATGATTGATCACTTGGAAAAAAACCCCATGTCTCTGATGCTTCTTGAATTTGTTTCACTATTTCTTTGTTGTTTTGAAGGTCTATTAAAGGGAAAAATGAAATTTGATTTTTTGGGATTTTTTTCTAAGGAATTATGTAAATGGATGAATATTTGGGGTAGTTTAGTAATTCCACAATCAATATTTGGGGTAGTTTGGTAATTTACTAAATTTGTCATATTTTTGTTGTGTGTTATTGGAGGTTTCCATCTAGTTTTCGAAGATAGTGCGGTGAGGTGACTGAGATTTTTCCGTTTTAAATAGAATAGAAATTTTAATTTCAAATTTTTTAATCTTTATATAGATCTAAAACAAATATATATTTTAATATATCTATATATAATTGAGATTTTTTTTAATTTTAAGTAGATCTCAAATTTTGATTAGTTTGAATATATGGTAAAGTACAACGTGTGAAGGACCATGGAATTGCTAGAATTTCTTAATTTTTGTTTTATAATATATAGTTGAAATTAATTAATAAGCATATCTTATTTTTAGTCATGATTTTCCTATAACTTTGTTTAATTCCTTAATTAATTAATTAATGATAAAAAAAAAACTCGTAGCGGAAATATTTTTATTTTTTAAAAGATTTATTACATTTTAATTATCAATTATTTTATTTTTTAATCTGAATTATCACTATCTAAATATTAAAACATATCTAGTTAGTTGAGTAGATAATAATTTAAAGGATTCCAGATGGAAAAAAAATAATAACTAATAGTTGGCATCCATAGTCATCAAGTTTCGATAGATCTTGAATTCGTAATTGATAATTTCGATAAATATGTTTTAATATATAGAAGAATACAATTTACCTTAAATATAAGCTAACAATAAATATGATTAACACTGCAGTACTTAATTGTACGATATGTTATGTAAATTATATTATTTATATTTTATTCATATTTAATTTTGTTTTATCTTGTCAATATTTGGGAATTAATTGATATAATGTTAGGAGAACTATAATTATAGAAAAGGAATTTAACTGTTATCTTTATTTATCTAAATTATTTCTTGAGTGAATATCGAATATCACATATCTATTATTAATATCAATAACTTCGATTTAATTTAATCCTATGATCAACTAGGCAATAAATCAAAGCATGTCACAAATATATGGATCTCCAATATATAGTAATATACATCCCATAAAATCTGCCTTAAAAGAAGATTTTTTTAAAATAATGATATTTATTATAATTCTGAATATTTGATAATTACATTGTTGACTTTTTTCTATATAAATATAATTGGGTGATCAATAATATTAGGAAAATGATTTTTGGAGTAGAATAGGGATATTTAAAACAATTCACATGATATTTGTGGTAGTGCTATAATCTAAGTAATTAGTATATTTGAATACTTATGTAATTATTATTGTATTTATAATCTTATATACAATATATACCATTATATTTCTATATCTATATATATACACATAAAAAACAATGTCATTATAAGGGTAAAACTAAATGCTTAAAATTAAAGAATTTTCTAAAAAAAAGTCATTTTTTAGAACATAATTTTTTTAAAAAAAGTTATATAAAATGAAACAATATTTTTTCTTATTTTTGATGATATTTTTTAGAGCCATTGATTCATATAAATGGTTACCCTTTAATTAAGGGACTATGTTCTAAGAGAAACTCACAAAGTATAACCAACTTCTTTTTATATTTATGTCTTAAACATTTTTTTTTCATTAATTCCTGTTATTTTATATTCATTAATTTATATATATTCTTTACTTTTTAAACTGAAATTGATATATATTTGTAGATTATTAGAGTTAAAAAAAAATAAAAAGATGGCACAAATGGTAAAACCAGCTGATCAAAAGTTCTCACAACATGATCAAAACATGGAAGATGGACATATAAATAAAATACAAGTAAGATTCCCATTATCGATTTACTCAGATCTCTCTTATAAAATTACACTGAATCCATTAATGTTATTTATATTGTTAAATTTTATTTTTTTTACTTTGAAGATTTATTTTCATAATTAAGAAGAAAGATCTAGAATATAAATATTATGGATTTTA